TAAATGTAATTTTCCCTCCAGTTCACCTTATTTATGAGAATAAATTGCACTGCATGCAAGTATTAATAATATGATTCACGATTCATCTGTACAACATATTTGAAGCGTTCTTTTGTAGAAACAGATATCTCTATTTGTGTTTATTATCCTAAATCTTTTTATCTTCAAGCCTATAATACTCAGAGGTAATATTTCGATTTATTTAACACAATAGTAGGCTTATTCATTTCGAACAGTTTCATCCTTCTGCCATGTGAGTTGCCGTTTCTCTTTTCTCCTCTTTATGTGTATACGCATGGTTCAGTGTTTACTTAAAGACTGCACATTCTCCCATCAACTTTTTTTTTTTTATAGATCACAACCTTTGCTTGGGAAGTGGCGTACGTTTCCAGCCCTGTTTTGTACGCACACACACCATTTATAAATGAGACCCCAGATCTGTTGTTAAAGTGGTTATGGTTTTTGGCTTTTCCCCTGTCCTTTATTGAGTGATATATCTTTTTTGTGCATGTACTAGGCTTGCAAAGTGAAAAAGACCAAAGTCCACCCCAAAGAAAACTGTGCTCCGAACTGCCTGAAAACAGCTTGTTTGTGGTCCAGCCTTTACTTCCGCCTTCTTGTGATGTCACAAGAAAATACGTGTCATAATGCTCACCTAGTGACTAGTCTGACATGCCCTCAAAAACACCGGTGGAAAAACACTGAGCTGCAGCACACACCTCTCCTCTCCCTTCCAAACACTAGCTACCCTCCAGGCAGTCAATGGACATAAAGTTGTTCCTGTGATGTAGAGACAGAGCTCAGTTAAAACTTTATGGATGAAAGATGCATTTGTTACAGATTAATAACTCACCACTCTGAAACTCTTGCTCCAGTCATATTGCCAAGCTGTTCGGCAACATGTAGCCTACAGCTGAATCAAAGCTGTTTACCGTCTTTTCACTGACCCGCCTTTCTCTGTTTCTGATTGGCTAGTAGTCCTTAACTAGGAACTGCGCATGTGCAACTCCCAACAAAGATCATTTAGAGATAAGATGTATCACTCCATAGCTAAAACGAAGCCTTCAACACAGGGTGAAAAGAAATATGCTGTTTTTTGAAAATGAAACCATGTAAACCTGTTCTGGTACAACCTATAAATAGGATTTTGAACCTGAAAATGAGCATAATATCACCTCTTTAAAGTAAAAATCTAAATTACAGCCACTCTGTATTTATTTTGAAATACTCACAGGTGATCATTAGATATTTATAAAAATATATGTATATAAAATACATATGATATGTGTGAAAATGAAATTATGACATTTGCAATGCAAACATTCTGATATTTTACTGTTTTAATTTTGAGGACAGTATAATCAGTGGCTCTTTTGAATATATCCGGCATTTCTCTTTATTATTTATATTGTTACACATTTATTACCCGGGCCCCTGCCAAAGGTGGACATGCTGTGAATAGAAAGAACAGAACAACATGAAAATTATGTTAAACCAAACTCTCAGTTAAATCAAATAAAGAACAATCAGGATCAGCCTTAATTGTATAGTGATATCTTATTTTCTCTCCTCCCTGTAAGACTCAATTAGTACCTTCAGAAAAGCTTAAATTATCTGAGGCATGGATTCATCTAGTTGCTAACTAAGTTCTTTGGTTTCTGGGAGTGTTTAGCAGGGCATTCATGCTTCAAAGTTTGTGTTCCGCCTCTTTTCTACTAGTAGGCCTAAGTCATATGGTGATTGTACAACTAAGAAAAGTTACTATCATGTTCAGGCCTGGAATGGTGAGTGCTGGAAATATCCATTTGAGATGGGGCATGAAGGGATACACCTGGTCAGCAACAATGTTTGCCATAGCAAAAGAGGTTCCTTTGGAATGAAACATGCAGGCACGTCATTACATCACCATCAGCAGCAGCTTGTAACACTCACACAAGACAGAATGGATCCATGACTCGAGCTGTTTACGCCAAATCTCGACCCTGCCATCAGCATGTAGCATCAGAAATCAAGATTTGGTGGATTTTACAATGCTTATGTTCATTCACCCGACCTTGGGCCTCTGCTGAATTAGCCTTGGAGGGGCAGCCTTATTCATGCAACTTTTGTTCTGAGCTGTTATTTGTATATTTGTGTCCTTACTGTCAGCTTGAACAAGTCTGGTCATTCCCTCTAATCTCCCTCACTGTCGAAGTGTTTTCACCTACATACCTGCTTGTTTGTTCATTCTCTGTCATCTCCAAACACCGAATGTGAGCACATGTTGTGCCCTCTTCGGTCTACAAGCTTTATATCGAGAAATTGCAGCCACACACCATCAACAAAGTTCACAAGCTTGTGTCAACTCTGCAGCGTTGCTAAACTAATGGAGAGGACATGTTCCCATTTTTGGTGTACAAGTGTTTGGCTTGCTGTACTGCAGTTTTAGCCAGGGGGAAAGTGCAGTTTCTATTCTGTTTTATACTTTAGATCACCAATTTAGTTGTGTGTAACATGAATGTTTGTTTTGTGTTGTAGCCATGTCTGTTTTTCAGTTTGATGAGACACAGTTTTACCCTTATTTGAAGCTAACTCAACACGCTGTGGCCTGTTATGGTAAAACAAATTTTTTATATATATAGGCTTGGAAGCCATCAGTAAATCAGTAAAGCCTGTAAATACATAAAGCCTGTTTTGCCTCAGCCATCATGTGGCCTGCCTTCCTTCTGTCCTCCTCTTTATTTCCATTACATCATTAACACCATCACAGCAATGACATGGTCAGGGAGACAGGGGAGAGGGTTGGACCAATATACAGTGATTTATTTACTTTGTTTTCATACAAATTAAATACTATAGATGTATGTAAACTCTTATAAATACTTTCTTATGGTATCATTCACTTCAATTAATTTAGTTACCAACCAACACAATGGAATTCACTTCAGTCTCTCTCGATCTCTCTGTTTCTACAACTTTCTCTTTGTAACATAAAATAAACACAATTTGCTGCACACTGAAATGAATCTATAGATTCAAGTAGACTTGTCAGCCATCTGTCACCTCCCGTTTCCCTCCTTAACTCCTTCAGTCTGTGTGAAATTACACCAAAACCATGTTTCAGAACCTCTGCTAATGGGTGCTAAAGCACTTTTCACTATGAACATATAAAAATACTGTGTAACCCAAACAGATCGAGTTGTTGCATCTTCCCACACTGCACGGTGAGGACAGAAGTCATGACTAACTTTCAGAAGTTAGCCAAGATACCAAACCCTCCCACACTTACTGCACCAGCTCACAGATTTATATCCCTGCTAGAAAGTGAAGATCCGAGCTAATAATATTTGGGGCAATGAATGGAAATGGAAAATATGGGTGATTGCAATCTATTTCTGTCTGCTGTATTCATGTGAAGTGAAAAATGCATTTATGTTTAGCAAAGGATGATAGATATGTGAGGGACATGGTGGCTAAAATGTGATAGTAATATGGGCCGATCACACGTGCAACCTCTCCATCTCACCTCGAACCCTGTCTGCGCTAGGAAAATTGACAGGTGCACTGGTGCAACTATACTGCCTCACCCTCCCTCCCCCTCTGTGCCTGTCTCTTTCTCCCTTTCACACACACTCAAACACTGTTATACAATCTGCACCTGTACAGACTCAAATAAAAACACTAAAGAACTGTGATGCTGGTGGGAATTGAGGGAATATTTGCACACACATGGCTTTTTCATGCAACGCTTGGTTTCAGTGTTTTTAATAACAACCATGCACTGAACGAGGAGCAGCTTCCCGCATGGGACCAGGCAATCATGCTGTTCTTTTCCAGCACTTTCTCCTCCCTGTCTGCCTGCCTGCCTGCCAAAGGGTGCTCTGCAGCATCCTTTTCAGCTTGTGAATCAACCTCCCTCCTCCTCCTCTAAACAGAAGAAGAAAAAAAAACTCTCCCACCACCAGTGTCACTCTACCCAATAATAATATAGCGCCACAAACAACCCGGTTACTCTTGGATCTTCAATGAATTATTCACAGTGCATCCAAAAAATTCATCCCGTTTCTTTAAGGGTGAGGAATAATCTCTGCAGTCAGCTCCAAAATGCATCCAGAAAAAGGGCTGCATTGGGCGGCAGAGGCTGCTATAAATACCCCCGACCCCCTCCACCCCCACAACTATCCACATCCCTTCTCTCATTCTCCCTCCTTCTCAGTGAAAAAGCACATCAGCTATAGGACACTTACTGCAGGGTCCCTCCGCTTGGCTTGATGTGCTCTTTTTTTTTATACAAGGGAGGGACACCAGTTATGTCACCGCTCCTACACCATTCGTGCCTGCTTTCTGATGCAACGGGGAGGCTGCTATATCACTGACTTCCTTTGGATTGTTTATATCATGTGTGTAAGCTACTGCAGCCCCGTACAGCATGCTGATGACGGGGCGTATATAATGTACTGTAGCTATACCGCACATACTGGTGGGAGCTGGCGTGTACCTCAAATTACACACACACACACACACACACACACACACACGTGCCAGCTTCACCCGCCATGCACACGTGTTCGCCGGGGGATAGGCTTTATTTATGTTTATGTATGAATAATGGGTGACTAATGGAATAACCACAATGCATTGCCGTTAATGGTCTAAAACAAAAAGCCACTAAGGCTGATAGGAGCTTATTGTCTGTTGAGGCTTTGAATGCTTCTCTCTGTTTTGTCTAATGTGGAAACGAGGAGCTGCCCGTGGTGCTGAACTTTCAACACAAACAGGGAACAGCAGGCCACCAAATCTAGCGCAGCAACTGAACTCACTCCACTTTCAACTTTTACGATCCCGTTGCACTTCATTAATGCCTAACTGCACCAGAGTATGCAGAAGTCATTTTGTCTACATGCATTATTATATGAATAGGCTACGGATGTGGAGGAGCCAGAATCCACGGTGTTACCGACTGTGGACTGTGTACCTCAGTCATTTGTCCTAAAACTGAACAAACCTCTTTATCTACCCACCTTACACAGCTGAAAGTTTTCCGACACTAGCGTCTCCTGGATGTCGATTTCCTTGGGAGTTGGCGCCGCGGTGGGAGTCCCGGCCGCGCTGCCGCACGATGGGGATCCGATTGTCCCTCCAGGTGAGGAGGTGGTCAAGCCGTCCAACACCTTCCGAAACTTCTTCATTTTCTCCCGTGCTTTTGTATTGTTTCGGCTCAGGGGTAGAGAGGCTAGAAGACCACTCTGCTTTCTTTGTTTTCACAGAGTGATCCTCTCAGATGCAACTCGTTCAGGCAGCTGAAGAAAGGAAACGTCGCTTCCTGCAGCAGTAGCAGGATAAAGACCAACTCTCTGGTTCTCTCTCTCTTAGGTGCAATTTAAAAAGTCATGGAGGTACCTCATCTTGTTCTCTGGCTGTCGTCCACAAAAAAACAAAAAACAATGCGTCTAAGCCACTCTGACTACAGCCAGTGTTGCAGATGCAGGTCGCCTGTCTCACATCAGAGCACGCAACGACGGCTACTTGAACTACTCAACTTCATCTTCCTTCCGCGTCCTTTAAAGTAACATCCACTCCTGGGCTTGGAAACAAATCCCACACTTCAACATGATCTGTGATGTTTCAGAGTGGACAGAGCAAAAGAACTTCGAACAAGTCAATCCACGTACCCCCCGCCCCCCACCCAGCACCCCCCAAAAAACACTTTCAAAACACGGTTGTTGCCAGTAACAGGAAGAGAAGGAGGAGGGAAGCGGGCTGGCGACGCAGAGGCAATGCAGTTAAACGCGATTGGACTCCACAGTCAGGCCGGAAAACGAGACAAGTCAACCATGGAGGAGAAGAAAAGGGGGGGAGGGGGAGAAGATGCTGCGCGTTGGCGGCGTGGACCGGAGGTCGGTCTGTGGATGGATGTGGTTTTTGATAAAAATTCATCCAACTGTGTCGCTTCAGCGTCGCTTTCCTGCAGTCCAGAGACAGGAGAGGAGGGCTGTCCGCGGTGCTGAAACCCATATCCAGCCTGCCCCGCCCCCCACCACCCCTCTCTCTCTCTCTCTCTCTCTCTATCTCCTACCCGCCCTCCCTCCCCGGCGATTGGGTGAATGCTCTGAATCAAAGATAGGCCTACACATTGATGAGGGGAAATAAATAAATAAATAACTTCAGCCAAAGTTAAAGAGAGGTCTGAGAGAAGCACGGAAAATATCTAAGATGTTGCATTCTGCTGTGGATTGTTAAATCTCTTTACAAGTACTGTGTTGTGTTTGTTTTTTTTGTTAATTGCCTCCATTTGCAGTTATTAATTTCCTGCTAGTTTGCTCAAACATCTCTTCACATCAACAGGATCTGCAGAGTGAGATGATGCATCCAGATCAATGAAAATCCTGAACTATTCCTTTAAAGAAAAACAAGGCGCATTCTTTGATGCATTTTGAGATTTTATTTTGAACTTAAAAGGTTTTGCATCTCAGACCAAGGTCTTTAACTTTAGAACAGCTGTCCTAAAAGCAATCAGATGCTAAAACACATTTGATCATATCATCGTTTTACTACAAAAACAATTTCATACTTTCACGTCATGCTGTACAGTTTGGTTTTATCCTATATTTTTCTTATTTTTCTTTTTGAAAGAAATCTTGTACTCTTTTCAAAGGAGCAACAATGCAATGCCTCCATGTCAGTTCACCACTGAGATATGTACTGTAGGTTCGTTTGGGGCTAAGATCCCATAGGTGCCCACAAGTTATATGAAAGTCAACTCCAGCTATAACATTTATCTTTGGAAAAATGTGATGGAAATATTTGTTTGGAGGGGTACAATTGACAGCAATTGTACAGTTTAGACTAAATGTACTGACCAACCAGTGTGGGTACTACTGACTGAATTTTCATTTTGGGTGAAATAGTCAGGTGGTGGTTCTGAAGACAGTCCTGATGGACAATCAAGAGACTGAACCTAATGTGTTTCTAAAAATGTCCTCACAATGTTGCTTGTTTCCTACAATTTGAGGAGTTCTTCACACTACATTAATGTAGTATAACATTGTATGTTTTGATCCAATAACCACCAAGAAAATATACTTTACATTACCACTAACCATTTTCCAAAGCCTTCCAAAGTGTTTAGATTGCTTTCCTACCTTCCAGGCATATTGGTTTCTATTAATTTCAGAAAGCATATGAGACTTCAAACTAGCTTGATAAGCGTCCCCAGAATCAATTTTTTACTTTAATTAGTGTCAAGTTATTGTTGACTGACAATAAGGTCTATGTTTTAAAAACAAGTTTTTGGCAGCTGAGACTGTCAACCACGAAAGAGCATTAAAGGTGAAATTCTAATCCACCACACTTTTTAGTCAAATTCAGAGAATATCTCTTTGCTAGCTGAGTGTGCCATGACCATCAAATGTTTGTACAGAGCCCTGGCATCGTCAATGGGAAACAAACAAAGTAGCTCGGACCAAGCCACACAATACTATTCAAGCCAATCAGCAACAGGGGCGTTTGTGCTTGCTCTGTAGGAGTCCAACCAGTTGCACTCCAACCTCTGCTTTTGCAGGCTCCTCTACCTCTTCCACATCCTAGCCTATGAGGTACGGAGCTACACCATAATAGTCATGAAATGTTGATAACATCAGCGACGTAACCTTGTAAAATAAATATAAAATATTTTACTTTTGCGGCATGTATCACTGACGGTATAACTTACTGTTACTGTTGAATCTACTGACCATAATGTTATCAATACATAGCCTGTGCTACTCCTCGGCTTAGACTTTGGGTTAGATAAGTATCTGGCTTCTATTGAATTGCTTATTTTCATGCTTGCTACAAAAAACATATGCCACCTGTTGTTTCATAGCAATAAAAATTGCTTCCTCTTAAACCTCATGCTGCAGACGCTCTGGATTCCGCAATATTGCACGTATGTTAGTGTTGTTGCCTTGGCAATGTGCGTCCATGAATTTGGGGGGTGGAGCTCCTGAAGGAGCACTGAAGGGAGGGGTGTATTTTTTTGGCTGATGAGTTCAAACATCAACAATCTTTCTCCAGAATCGCAGACCCCAACTCTAATGCACATGTTATCAGAAAATCACACCCGGGAAATGGATATTACGAAGGGATAATGTGAATTTCTGACACTTTTGATTTCAACCCACTCAAGTCTCAGGTGTGAGAGCATATTTTCAGGCAACTGCAATACAGATGAAAATGCAATAATTTTCAAATAAATAAAGCCAACTGTGCAGAACTATAGCGTTGATGAGCTCACACTTGTGAGATGCCAGAATCCAAAAAAACAAATAAGAACTGAAGAATTCTGAATAAAAAAGAAACAATAATTAATACATGAATACATGTGAAAACAGACCAAATGAACTGCATGGATATGGGTTTTTAAAAACGCATTAGCGTGAAAATAGGTTTCAACACAAGGTACTTCATGACTGTTCCTTTATTATGCAAGGTCAAGATCTAGGGAAATTACAGAGCTGAGAATGTCTGAAAAAATATTAACCTTTAATTGTGATGTCCAGATATCAAAATCTATGTCTGATATTTTATTTGAAAATATGGTGCAGTTTTATCTGCAGGGTGGCAAGGCAGGAGAATGGCTGAGGAAGTGTGTATAAAGGGGCTCAAACAACTACACAAACACACTAGCTCAATAGATATGCTACTTACTTGTTCCTCGATACACATTTTGATTTGACCTCAGGGCTTTTAAAGTAGGATGTTCAAAGCTGTCCATGTAATGCTTCGCAAAGGTGCCCTTAAAAGCAGCTCCATCATTACCGTTTAATGTTTTGTGAAGAGATACAAAGAGGTAGTGCCTGTGTGTGTGTGTGAGCATGCACCATATCTGTGTACTGTTTACAACACCTCAAGCGATGGGGAATACACACAAAGGCAGAAAGTGGGCTTGATATTGTGCTCAGTTCAAAGACAATGGTGTTCGGCGTAAACATGCACCCACAAAGAGCTTTGTTTTGGATAGTACATGGTAATTAGCAGCTGGCTAATTTATGGCCAGGGAAAATGTGGTTTTCATTGAAGAAAACAAAAAACACAACAGAAATAATAACAAAAAAAGTGTATGTCGTAAAGGATATGATGCGTATTACATAAGGCCACTGATAACAGTCACTGTGCAATTAATTGTCTCTTCTTAGTTATGGAATGTCTCCTGTGCCCTGTTCTTTTCCTTTTCAACAGAATGTGTGGCTGTAATCAAGAACAATCATAGGATATTTTAAAGGCTGTTATGATAATTATAACTCACTACTGATTGAGGAAGAAGGGCAAGTTTGAGCAATGATTCCACATTTGACCTCTGTATCATGGGAATCTGGGCACTGTGTTCAGTCAGCTTCGTCTCAGAGATAATTTGCAGGGGTTGAATGAGTTTTAAGAACAGAAGTAATTAAGAGTGCGTCCAAATGATTTTAGCTCAGACACACACACACACACACACACACACACACACACACACACTAGGCCGTGTCTTTTCAATTAGATGGCAATGTCAATCTGTCTGTGATACACTTTGGCCCAGACTAAAATATTTAAACAACTGTTGGATGGATTGCCTTGACATATTGCAGAGACATTCAAGGTGCCCAGAAGATGAATCCTAATAATTTTGGTGATTTCCTGACTTTTCCGCTAGAACCACCATGAGGTCAAAACTTTGGTTAATGACCAAATACATGCAAATCAAAATACTTTCCAGTCAATCTCAGCTTTACTTTGTGTTTAATTTTGAGAAGGAAATGTTAGCACGCTGACTTGCTAAACTTAGATAGTGAAAATGGTAAACATAATACCCGCTAAGTTTTAGCCATGATTAATGATTAATAGGGGTTTACATCCACCATTTCCACCATTTAAATCATTGATGTCGTAACCTGTATGCAGCATGTTAATGTTGTGTGGGTGGTACTAAAGTCAAACTACATAATATAGTGTTGGCTAGTATTTATTCAAACAATGTGGTTGTCCTCTTCTGGTTAGATTTGAGTGCTGCATTCAATTGAGTAGCAATAAATTAGACTTGAGAAATGGGTCTGCCTCTCTTTTCTCTCAAACCTGTCTGAAAGAAAATATTTTGTTAGCTTAGGTGACTTTGTGTCACAGACATTTGACATTTGAGTTCTTTTTTCTCTATATATGCTCTCTGTGCAGTGTAATTAGTCACCATAATGTCAAATATCACTGTTATGCTGACGATACACAACTTTATATCTCTATTCTGCTAGACCACCCCAATTCTTTACATGCTTTTATAGCTGTCCCACTAATATTAACATAAAAAGTCTACTACTACTACTAGTTGGTCCAAAAGCAGAAAGGCAGTGTGTGCTAGCCTGCAAGCAAATCAAAACAGATGTTACAGATCTGGGAGTTGTTCTGGACTCGCTAAGATTATTGCAACTCAGGTCTCCCAGTCTTTAAGGAAATTATAGATAATCAGAACGCTGCAGCCAGGATTTTAACTAATACTAAAAATTAAGATAAAAAGAAAATAGAGATCACATTACCCATCTGCTTGCATCAATGTACTGGCTACATGTATCTTTAAGAATTGATGTAATTCCCTCTAAGCACAGGAAGACACAAGTGGTTTTCTTGCAACTGGTTAATTTAAGTCCTCGCTCCA